GTGCCAGATTCTGTCCGGGTTGCCCCTCTTCCAGGCCAGCTCTCTGCTGTGGCTGGGAAGTGCAGTGGAGGATGGCCCAAGTGCTTGGGCCCTGCACCCGCATGGCAGACCAGGAGAAGCACCTGGCTCATGGCTTCGGATCAATGCAGTACACCGGCCACAGCGGCCACTGGAGGGTGAACCAATGGTAAAGGAAGACCTTTCTCTGTCTCTCTCTTTCACTATCCACTCTGCCTGTTAAAAAAAAAAATTTAAAAAAGAAAAAAAGAAATTCCAGGAGACACGCACAAAAGGCAGCTGATAGATGATAGATGAGAGAGACAATCTTGGTACTTGACCACACAGAGATATATGCAAACCTTTGGGACTAGGGGCAGCTTCAAGGAAGCAAGTGTAGTTGGGGAAGACGTCCAATTACTGAGCCCTGGGGAGCATCAATATTTAAAGAGTGACCCCAGCAAAGGAGATCACAGGAGTGTGGCCAGGGAGGTGGGAGAGCCTGGAAACCAAGTGAAGATGACGCTTCGAGAAGGAGGATGGGGGCAGGCATTTGGTCCAGCGGGTAAGATGTCCACACTCCATTACAGAGTACTGAGTTCAGTACCTGCCTCCAACTCCTAACTCCAGTTTATTGCTAAGCAAACCCCAGGGGAGAGTAGTGATGGCTCAAGCAGCCATGTGGGAGACCCAGACTGAGCTCCCAGTCCCCGGCTTCAGACCCACCCAGTCTCAGCTGTTGCAGGCATTTAAGGAGAGAACCAGCAGAGGGGAACTCTCCCTCCATCTCCCAAATAAATAAATGAAGTTTAAAGAAAACATTTGGAACAAAGAAAGAAGGGGTGGCGCAGGATGTCAGAGTTCCCGCAGAGCAGGTGGAGGAGGACGAGGAAGACGAAGTGGACTCATCCGTGAGGGTGAGGGGGTGAGGGTGGACAAGAGCCTGAAGGGAGCACGGTGAAGACAGAAAAGGAGGAGGAAGAGAACGCACAGCATTGCACTCACTTACTAGGCCTGAGCCTAGATGAGGGCCTTTAGCACATCCCTTAGAAGTGACGTCTCTCAGCCGGCGCCGCGGCTCACTAGGCTAATCCTCCACCTAGCGGCGCCGGCACAACGGGTTCTAGTCCCGGTCGGGGCGCCGGATTCTGTCCCGGTTGCCCCTCTTCCAGGCCAGCCCTCTGCTGTGGCCAGGGAGTGCAGTGGAGGATGGCCCAGGTGCTTGGGTCCTGCACCCCATGGGAGACCAGGAAAAGCACCTGGCTCCTGGCTTCGGATCAGTGCGGTGCGCTGGCCGCAGCACGCCGGCCGCGGCGGCCAATGTGGGGTGAACCAATGGAAAAGGAAGACCTTTCTCCCTGTCTCTCTCTCTCTCACTGTCCACTCTGCCTGTCAAAAAAAAAAAAAAAAGAAAGAAATGACGTCTCTCTCTAGATTATGTGCTCCCTGAAGGACCCAGGGGCACGACTTTATCTTTCGCATGCCTCACACAAGGTTGCCATCTGCAAAACTACTGCAGACTTCAGTGAAATGTTTGGAAAAAAAGAAACATTCTCCTTACACTTTATGAAACTGTGCATGGCAACATTCTCCCCATCCCCCACCCCGACACAGAGACACTCCTGGGAGGGACATGTTGATAACAGAATCTTAGTGTTTTTAATAAAACCAAATGTCCATTAAGTGATCATTTTTTGTGTGGATGTCATGAGTTTTGAAAACGAGCATCTTATAGCTCTGGGGCCCTTGTTGAGGGGACAGAAAGGAAAAACTTTCATCCCTGCCAACATGTTGGTTTGTGTGAATCACTGCTCAGGGAGACCTTTCAGGCACATAATTTATCTCTTCTCTGGCTTATGTAGTAAAGGCTTCATTTGTTCATGAATTCTTGCCTTGTTTTAATTATGCTATGTGCTGAATGTAGTTTTATAAGGCACAAAAATAAGATTGTCATCCTGAAAACACAGAAGATTTTTGTGTTTCCTCCAGAATGAAGTGGTGGCATCCTTCTCCCAATTCACAGCTCTGTGGGGTTCTGGTTGGAATTCGAATCCAGCCTGGGCCAGGCTGTGCAAGTGTGGGGTTGGGCGTGTGGCAGGGGGCAGGAGAGGGACAGCTGACGGGGCTGAGGCCAGGGCATAATTTATCCTAAGAACTCTGAATTAATACACTGACGTCCATCTATGCATAATGTGGCACTCCCACTGACAGGCCCACTGACTGAGAAGTTTTATTCATGTTTCTTGCTACTTTCTGAGAGCTGGATTCTCTTATTACACTTATAGGACAATTGGTCCTCACCCCTCCCCCACCACACACAAATAAAGAATTGTGCAGCTAGGGATCGGATAAAAAACCTTAACAATCAGAAGGCCATTTTTTGTTTAAAATTCTTACAAACACACAAGGATATCTCAAAAACCTCATGGGAAAAAATGAAATTAAAAGCATGAGTTTATTTTAGTGCAAACTTTTTTTGAAATCCTGCACTGTTTTTACAAAATATGAATTTTCATGTATTATAAAATTTTTTACTGATAATGTTTCTTGCACAAAAATAAATAATATTCTAAATTCCATGTTTCCATGACATTTTTGAATTTCCCTTGTATGTACCTGAATATTTGACAGTACATGGATTGAAGGAGAAATGGCTACTTTGTAACCTTTCTATGTTTTGTACATATATAGTGCACAGCAGGCAGTCAGTACTTCAAGTTCCAACAATTCCACCAATAAAAACCAGAGATCTGTAGTGCCCCAAAATCAGATTCAGATTCCAGTGGTGAATCTGGGTGCACCAACTCACTTATTCAGAAAGGCAAATAGGCTGCAATTTGGGGGTTTTCTAAGAGACAGTAAAAACTTCAAAATACCAGCCCTGGGCTTGACTAGATGGAGACCTCGCATATTCTGACATGAGGCCCATCTGCTTCCAGATCAGAGGAACTCATCCACTCAGACGGAGGCACTGTTCTTTCAACGCAGGGACCCAAGCTGAAAAGGCACAGCTCTGAAGTTACAGCTCACTCATCTCACACAGGATGGACCGAGTATGTCGGAGGTCAATGGCTACACAGACAGAAGCGGGCTATCCTCTGCTGAACTGGGTTGGTTTATCGATGAAGAGAGGGATTTGGGTGAGTCACTGGATGCCTGTCCAAAGACGGATGAGCACAGTCCTTCATTCCCTTCTGATCAATAATTCAATCTTTTCTCTATCTTGGGCACTGGATTGGCTTTGAATGCACACTCAAAAGAAACATGAAAGCGTTCAAGGAATTACACCTCAGAGCAACTTCAGAAGCCACCATGAAAAATGAGGACTCAATAAGTGCTTCCCATGCAGGGAAAATGGCAAACACTTTCTCAGGCCTTCAGGAACACTGTGTTCCCTTCCAGCCCCAGACGAGGCAGCCCCTGGTACGCACATCAGATGGACTACTATCTGGACCCGTGAGGCTGATTTTCCTTGTGGCAGCGTCCCCTGTCCCTGACACTCTGCCTCCACAGCAGGGGGCTTGGTGCCCCCTGGCAGTTGCAGGCTTATTTATTGGTCTTCCTTCTCAGGGCAGCAAACTCCAGGAGGGCAAGGACTGTCCTGTGCATCACTGGCGTGCCTGTGCCCTCCTGCACTGGCACGGTACCTCACTCAGTAAAGCACGGATGCCTGCATGCATCTGAGGATTTGTGCCTGAATGTGCTCAAATGGTCCCCTGCACTCTGCAGTGCATTTTGGGAAGTGGGCATGTGAAGGGATGTTTTTTAAACTACTCAAAGCAGTTCTGAAAATAAGCTCTCTGCACCAAAGTTTATAGAAATGGCAAGAATGCTGTTAGGAAAAAACAAAACACATGAGCCTTTTTCTCTTTTCTCAATTGTCCAGAGTTTTCACTTGGTGCCTAATGTTTGCAGCATAATTCTGACACACCCTGTTCGCACTGAAATCACAGGTGAATGTGATACTCATTTTCATAAAAATAATTCATGTGCAGCATTTAGAACAGAGACTGGCATACTGTAAGCACTCAATAAATGACAGTATTATTCTTGGCATCTTGGCAGTGCATGTACATGGTTATGTTATTGTTACAATGGATAGGCTGATGGCAGCAACACACAACCAAGCCTGTATAATTTTTCTGGTTTTCAACTCAAATAGCAGTACTTTAATCTTATTCCTAAATTTTGAAAAATACTGTTCTTTAAAAGTCTGTTAACCAAAGAACTAGCTAAATACAATAAATATAAAATTATATCAACTTTGATTTCTTTCTTCATTCAAAGAATCCCTTTCCTGCCCTGAATGCAAACAAACTCTCTCCAGGCTTAAAGTAAATGCTTCTTTTAACATTGAAAAGAACTCGCCTTGCTTTGTTCAGGAAAGAGAGCACCTGGCTCAGGATACTTCCTTTAAAAAACAACCTCTTTTTTTTTTTTACAAAGGTTTCCCTCTGGCTTGTTGGAAAATAATCAGCCCATTAAAGAGTCTGCCTAGAGCTATCATGACAGTGTGAAACAGTTAAAACTCCATGCAGGCTCTTAAGAGTTAGGAATGAAATATGTCCCAACCACAGTCCATACCACCTGTCCGACAAGCTACCAAGCCCGGGCAGAGTATTTAAGTCTTTTCGGAATCATTTTTATTCCTCTTATGCCTCTCCCTCTGGACTCTGCTGATCATAAATGCAACCTGTAGCTCTGCCTTTGATAGACAGGAGGACAAATGCATCTGCGTGCAACTCACCTCCTCCTCCCTTTGACATAAAACAGATGCCACAGCTGTTATTGTTCTTCTAACAGATGTTGCTGCCCACACAAACATGGAGGAGACACCATGCGACAATGTGCTCTTTGTTCTACAGGGGTCAACGGCTTGCCACCTTGTTGAGGGCCCCCAGATGATGGAGGGGGTTGTGTGTGCGGAGGCCTCACCCCATCAGTGCCCCTCCCCCGCAGTCTGCATTCCAGGGGCCGGGTGAGCAGCCCTTTTGCACACTTACCTCTGCTGCAGGGACTCCAGCAGGCTGCTCGGATAATCCAGGAGTCTCCTCGGCCCCGTCTTCGTGCTCTGTCCTCTTGGATTCCTGTTGGTTGTCACTTGGTGCCTTTTCCCGTCCCTTGTCCAGTTTGAAGAATTTCTCGAAAAAGCTCAAGTCCTTGGGCTTGGAGGGGGCTGTTTCCCCTGACTCAGGTGGGGCAGGCGCTGGAGCCCAGGTGGCAGAGAGGGCCTGGTCCTTGGCTGGGGTCTGCTCTGGGGTTTTATGCGCGTTGGGCCCTGGTGCAGCTGCCCCAGGAAGCGCCACGCTCTCACTCGGGTCTTTGTTCAGTGGCGCTTTACTGGGGCTGACATCAAGCTTCGCTGATCCCGGGGATGAATCCCAGCCTTGGTCTCCGGGACGTCCTGGTACAGGCCGAGAGAGCGTCAAGAAAAAACGAGATTTAGCAGCTGGTGCTTCGGGTTTGGCCTCTTTCCCAAGATTCTTTCCGTTGGCACTGGCCGTAGCACTTATGTCCATTGTCTCAGGGGAAGAAGTGGCCACATTATCCGTCTTCATGCTTATTCCCAGATCGACTGTAAACACAAACAGAAACAAGTTATTCAACCAAGCCAGGAAATTCAAGGATGCATAATGGACTCCCAGCGTCTTATATACAACAGAGGCCATCGCGCAAGCCGGGGCTACACTGTCTGGTGGTCACTCCGCCAAGCAGGAGTTGGCCCCTAGATGTCTCCCGACCCATTCTCTTTGGTGAGGAAGGAAAGCCACAGCTTCCAGGCACTGCACGAGTGGCATGTCACGTTAGTACCTTCTGTGTCTTCCGAGGGACCCTGGCAGAAGCACACTGTCATGATCTCCACGGGCACTCAGGACAAGGGCTCACAGGTGGGGCTTTGGAGCTAGAACGAGACTTCTCACCTGTGACCTGGCTGACACTGGGGTGGGTCGTTCTTCCTGTGGGGATTCTTCCCAGGCACCGAGGGGTGTGGACAACCTCCCTGGCCTCCGTCCACCAGACACCAAGGGACAACCAAAAATGCCTCCAGATATTGCCACTGGGGGCAAAATCGCTCACATCTGAGGACCATGGATGTCTCTTTGAACCCAGGTTTCTTAATTTTCCTGTGCCCCAACTTCCTGATAAAATGAGGCAAAGAATAAAACTCACCTCAGAATTCTATTATAAATATTACGTGAGTTAATGATTTTCTTTTCTTTTCTTTTTTTTTTTTCTTTTTTTTTTTTGACAGGCAGAGTGGACAGTGAGAGAGAGAGACAGAGAGAAAGGTCTTCCTTTTACCATTGGTTCACCCTCCGGTGGCCACTGCGGCCGGTGCGCTGTGGCTGGCGCACCACACCGATCCAAAGCCAGGAGCCAGGTGCTTCTCCTGGTCTCCCATGCGGGTACAGGGCCCAAGCACTTGGGCCATCCTCCACTGCACTCCCGGGCCATAGCAGAGAGCTAGCCTAGAAGAGGGGCAACCGGGACAGAATCCGGCACCCCGACTGGGACTAGAACCCGGTGTACCGGCGCCGCAGGCGGAGGATTAGCCTAGTGAGCCGCGGCGCCGGCCGAGTTAATGATTTTCAAAAATTATTTTATTTTGGGGGACACACACACACACACACACACATCTTCCATCCACTGGTTCCCATCCCAATCCATATCTCTGCTATGTCCTGAGAAAGCAGTAGAAGATGGTCCAAGTGCTTGGGCCTCTGAGCCTACATGGGAGACCTGAAGAAGCTGCTGGTTCTTGGCTTTGGATTGGCACAGTTTTGGCCATTACAACCATTTTGGAAGTGACCCAGTGGGTTGAAGATCTTTTTATTTGTCTGTCCTTCTCTCTGTCCATAACTCTACCTCTCAAATGAATAAATAAATAAAATCTTTAAAAAAATAAAAAATCTAAGTGGGAAAACTGATGGCCAGTGAGGTCAGCCCACCTTCCCACAGCTGTCCAGTAAGCTGGGAGTGTTTAATTCTGGCTTTAGGAAGAACCCAGACCCCTAAGCTGGTGTCTTGTCTCTCACCATAGGACTTATATTAGCAAAGACTGTTATGAATCCTGAAGACTTTAAAAAACAATACCCAGGAAGTTTGCATTTTGAAGGCTGGAAGGGCAGATATCCACCAAAGAAGGCAGATTTGACCTTGGTCTACGTGGAATTAAAGGTGTGAGTCTAGCTGACCAAGACTGTGTGCAGATGCAGGCTCTGCCTTCTCGCAACACCCACCTGCTTCTGCTGATCTCTGCCTCTGCCTAGTAGCACTGCCTTCTCTTCTAGAACTTTTCTTCTTTTCTGTATAAAGCTGTATAATATGCAGGGGGGGAAATACCAAGAATTTTGGAATCATAGTTTAAGATTGAGACTTTCTAAGAACAAGGTATGCAGTTGTGGGCAAGTCACTGAAGTCTTCACTTTTTCCTATTTGTAAAGTGGGCATAGCAGCAGCTGCCTGGGAAGGCTGCTGTGAAGTCAAGTGGAGAACCCACACAAAGGATCTGGCCCAGAGCAATGTCCATGGCAGGTGATTCTTAATGGATGCATTCTGTGACCATGTTCAAGGTTTCTCCTGTGTCCTGGGCACTACTGAATTTTGCCTGATACATTTGTAGCCATATGCTGCTTGTTTTTAGAATTATACTTAAGTATTTTTTCCTTTTTTTTTGGAGATAACATATTCTTTAGAATCTAAGACTTAGAATCTAAGACTTATGGCTCTGCTAAACAAAGTTCAACAAATAAAAGTAAAGACCACGGTCAGTGGGAAAATATGCAAATCTATAAACAATTGTCAAATGAAAATATTTTCAATTTCACTCTTCTTAATTTTTAAATAGTTGCAAAATCATTAATACTATAGTAATATGTAATTTCTATCAATTTGTTGGACAAATATTTAAAACAAATTTTGACAAAAGACTGTATTTTTAGCAAAGCTGATACACATCACCTTTCCTTCCCTTCTCTCTCTCTCTCTTTCATTTTTAGCTCCCATATATAAGGGAGAGTCAGACACTTCTTAATATCTGTTTGTATGAAGATAAGGAAAAAGAAGGGGAGAAGATTGAGACTTCTTTGGTATGCTCATACTGCTCATTGATACGTAGTGAGGCACTTGTGCGCACACACACACACAAACAAGTGCATCTGTCAGCGATTGCTTCTGCCCAACTCCAGTATTTCACTATGTTTAGAATCAGGAAGAAACAAACAAGGAAGGAGAAAGAGAGAGAGTGCGAGGGAGAGGGAGAGGGAGAGGGAGAGGGAGAGGGAGAGGGAGGAGCGAGAGCGGGAACGCGTGTTACGTTCCTGTACAGAAGGGGCAGTGTCCGCATTAGGTAAAGACAGCAGAGAAGACATGATGCAAGGCAAGCCCAGCAGTGGGCACTGGGCCTCCAGGAGACACCCTGCAGCCCAATGGCTGTACTTCTAGCTCCTCTGTACCTATTTCCTGTGGTTCAGGAACTGGCAATGGAGGAAAGGATTATAGGGAAGGGGGGAGAGGAGGCAGCGAGGGGAAGGGAGGCAGCGGTAGACGGATGAATCAGGGTACAAGCAGCAAGTGAGGTTGCTGGAGTGTCCCAGTGAATATAAATGAGTCATGGGGTGGTCCATGCCAGGAGCAGAGGAAACGGTTGGCAGAAAGGGAGAGGCAAAGACACAGGACAAGAAGGGCTTCTCTAAATGCACAGGAGAAAGCATCACTGATTCTTTCCCTCTTGTTCCTGACCCCTAGCTGAGAACCAAAGGAGCCAGTGGTAAGGGAGACCGTTACAGCCAGAGAAAAAGTCTTGGGGGGGGCGGGGGACAGCAACAGCAACTTTCTGTGGATGGACTTTTTAAAAAGTGCCAATATATTGCTTTGAAAGGGATGAAATCCCTATAACCAGGTATCTGGATTAACCTTCAACACACTTAGCAAGGACAGCAGGTTTAGCTTTTGGTGTCAGTGAATAAAGTGTTTCCCACCACCTGTAAGAACACCAAGTTCTTAAGTGGTACATTCCATGATGACCAAAGCCCTGCTCACCACCTCAGCTGAGAGCATGCCCAGGCCCACAGCCCGGGCTTCTGTTTCCCTGAGAGGCACACCCTCTAGGTGAGTCCATGACCCAAGATAGACCAAATCCTGTGACATTAGCTCAATCTATTAGAACAGATTCATGCTTGGGTTGGGAAAACCAACAGGGGGTACATTTGACAGTGGTGACCAAACTTGAGAACCAACACAGTGATAGCAGAGCCAGGAGGTCCAGGAGGCAGTGCCCAGTGCTATTCAACTCTAGCTGTTCCTGAAGTTGGAGTTTAGAATTACATAAGCCAATAAATCCTTTCCCTGTCCCCCTCAACTTCTGCCAGTTCCAATCAAGTACATTCTCAGTGACGTGGGCAGAGTTCCAGGGAATTGGTTAGTATCCAATACCCTTGTCGATTAGTAGCAATCAGTCCTGATCTAGTGAAGCTGTCATCAGGCTCAAGTGTGTCTAGCAGGCATGTAGGACGGGAGGGAAGAGGACAGAGAACAAAAGGTGAGGAAGTGAGTTCTAAGGAGCTGGGCAGAAATGAAAAACACCCACCAACACTGTTTTCTCAATAAAAATGAAGGGAAAAAAATCTACTGGGAAGAAGAGATGACAGTCATCAGAGGCCTTAGACAAACACTAAAAGCAGACAAGTAAGTTCTAAAATACACTCAGACACACAACCATTCTACGCTACTTGGTAGGAAGAAGAGCCATTGGACTTGCCAGCTTGACACTCTTGGAAAGCTGGGGACCATTTCAATGCCTTCCCCATATTTTTATGGAAAATATTAAGGGTTGCTTACAAGAAGATCAGAACTAAGCTTTAAGTGCCTTTGAAAAATCTTGGGAGAAGCCCATCTGAAATCTGGTTTCAATAAAACATTTCTTTATAAAGTATACAGATGACACACCAAAGAGATTTCACTTTTCATAAAAAAGTGCAAGACTTCAGGGAAGATAAAAAGAAATCAAGCAGGAACACAAATGGCAGGTCCCAACGCCTGAAGAGATGGAGTTGAAAAACTTGATCTCACTGCAGAGAAGATATTTTGTTCTCCAGGCATGTTTTTAAAATAAAGTCATTTTATGTTGATATGGGATTGAGAACTTATGATTGTTAAGTAGTGGGGTGGTGGATCAGAGGGACCTGGCTTTGACTCATGTTTTCTTTTTAAATATTTATTTATTTGAAAGGCAGAGCATCGGGGTGGGGGTGGGGGCAGAGAGAGAGACACAGAGAGGGAGAGAGAGAGATTTTTCCATCTACTAGTTCACTCCCTGAAATGGGCACAACAGCCAGGGCTGGACCAGGCTGAAGCCGGGAGCCTGGAAGTGTCCAGCTCTCCCACGTGGCTGGCAGAGGCCCACGCACTTGGCCATTATCTCCTGCCTTTCCAGGAGTATCAGCAGGAAGCTGGATTGGAAGTGGAGTAGCCAGGGCTTGTACAGGCGCCCTGGCATTGCAAGGGGCACTCAACCCCCTGTACCACAATGCTGACCCATGGCTTTGACTCTTAACCCCTCGCTTATTACATGGG